TCTTGAAATCTTGCGATTAGTGTAAGTATAGGAGAAAGTCCTCTTGAAATCTCATGATTAGTGTAAGTATAGGAGAGAAATCTCTCGATTAGTGTAAGCATAGAGAGAAAGTCCTCTCTTGAAATCTCGCGATTAGTGTAAGTATAGGAAAAGTCCTCTTTAGTGTAAATCCTCTTGAAATCTCGCGATTAGTGTAAGTATAGGAGAAAGTCCTCTTGAAATCTCTCGCGATTAGTGTAAGTATAGGAGAAAGTCCTCTTGAAATCTCGCGATTAGTGTAAGTATAGGAGAAAGTCCTCTTGAAATCTCTCTTGATTAGTGTAAAGTCCTCTTGAAATCTTGCGATTAGTGTAAGTATAGGAGAAAGTCCTCTTGAAATCTCTCGATTAGAAGTTAGTGTAAGTATAGGGAGAAAGTCCTCTTGAAATCTCTTGCGATTAGTGTAAGTATAGGAGAAAGTCCTCTTGAAATCTCGCGATTAGTGTAAGTATAGGAGAAAAGTCCTCTCCTTGAAATCTCGCGATTAGTGTAAGTATAGGAGAAAGTCCTCTTGAAATCTCGCGATTAGTGTAAGTATAGGAGAAAGTCCCTCTTGAAATCTTCTCGATTAGTGTAAGTATAGGAGAAAGTCCTCTTGAAATCTCGCGATTAAGTCTTGAAATCTTGCGATTAGTGTAAGTATAGGAGAAAGTCCTCTTGAAATCTCAAGGATTAGTGTAAGTATAGGAGAAAGTCCTCTTGAAATCTCGCGATTAGTGTAAGTATAGGAGAAAGTCCTCTTGAAATCTCGGAATAAGTGTAAGTATACGACAAAGTCCCCTTTAAATCTCGCGATTAGTGTAAGTATGGGAGAAAGTCCTCTTGAAATCTCGCGTTTAGTGTAAGTATAGGAGAAAGTCCTCTTGAAATCTCTCGATTAGTGTAAGGAGGAGAAAGTCCTCAGTCTCGTTATTAGTTTCTCGGGCGAAGCAGCTTCGAGACCGCTGCCACAGAGTACACGGCCTTGTATCCATGGGGATATTAATATGTGTATCTTATCTTCCTGTTTCTATTTTGCGAAAATAGCAATTGTTAATTGTTTGAGGCGAAATACAGTTCCAAAGGTAACATGTCAGTGTCTCCACCTACACCCCACCACCACCACTACATGTCAGTGTCTCCACCTACACACCACCACCACTACATGTCAGTGTCTCCCCCTACACACCACCACCACCACTACATGTCAGTGTCGCTACCTACACACAACCACCACCACCACTACATGTCAGTGTCTCCACCTACACACCACCACCACTACATGTCAGTGTCTCCGCCTACATACCACCACCACTACATGTCAGTGTTTCCACCTACAAACCACCACCACCACTACATGTCAGTGTCTCCACCTACACACCACCACCACCACTACATATCAGTGTCTCCACCTATACACCACCACCACCACTACATGTCAGTGTCTCCACCTACACACCACCACCACCACCACTACATGTCAGTGTCTCCACCTACACACCACCACCACTACATGTCAGTGTCTCCACCTACACACCACCACTACATGTCAGTGTCTCCGCCTACATACCACCACCACTACATGTCAGTGTCTCCACCTACACACCACCACCACCACTACATGTCAGTGTCTCAACCTACACACCACCACCACCACTACATCTCAGTGTCTCCACCTACACACCACCACCACCACTACATGTCAGTGTCTCTACCTACACACCACCACCACCACCACTACATGTCAGTGTCTCCACCTACACACCACCACCACCACTACATGTCAGTGTCTCCACCTACACACCACCACCACCACTACATGTCAGTGTCTCCACCTACACCACCACCACTACACATGTCAGTGTCTCCACCTACACCACCACCACCACTACATGTCAGTGTCTCCACCTACACACCACCACCACCACTACATGTCAGTGTCTCCACCTACACACCACCACCACCACTACATGTCAGTGTCTCCACCTACATACCACCACCACTACATGTCAGTGTCTCCACCTACACACCACCACCACCACTACATGTCAGTGTCTCCACCTACACACCACCACCACCACTACATGTCAGTGTCTCCACCTACACACCACCACCACCACTACATGTCAGTGTCTCCACCTACACACCACCACCACTACATGTCAGTGTCTCCACCTACACACCACCACCACTACATGTCAGTGTCTCCACCTACACACCACCACCACCACTACATGTCAGTGTCTCCACCTACACACCACCACCACCACTACATGTCAGTGTCTCCCTACCACACACCACCACCACCACCACTACATGTCAGTGTCTCCACCTACACACCACCACCACCACCACTACATGTCAGTGTTCCACCTACACACCACCACCACCACCACCACTACATGTCAGTGTCTCCACCTACACACCACCACCACTACATGTCAGTGTTCCACCTACACACCACCACCACCACTACATGTCAGTGTCTCCACCTACACACACCACCACCACCACTACTCACATGTCAGTGTTCTCCACCTACACACCACCACCACACTACATGTCAGTGTCTCCACCTACACACCACCACCACCACTACATGTCAGTGTCTCCACCTACACACCACCACCACTACTACATGTCAGTGTCTCCACCCACACACACCACCACCACTACATGTCAGTGTCTCCACCTACACACCACCACCACTACATGTCAGTGTGTCTCCACCTACACACCACCACCACCACTACATGTCAGTGTCTCCACCTACACACCACCACCACCACTACATGTCAGTGTCTCCACCTACACACCACCACCACCACCACTACATGTCAGTGTCTCCACTCCACACACCACCACCACCACTACATGTCAGTGTCTCCACCTACACACCACCACCACCACTACATGTCAGTGTCTCCAACCTACACACCACCACCACCACTACATGTCAGTGTCTCCACTACATGTCAGTGTACCACCACCACCACCACTACATGTCAGTGTTCTCCACCTCCACACACCACCACCACCACTACATGTCAGTGTTCCACTCACACACACACACCACCACCACTACATGTCAGTGTCTCCACCTACACACACCACCACCACCACTACATGTCAGTGTCTCCACCTACACACCACCACCACCACTACATGTCAGTGTCTCCACCTACACACCACCACCACCACTACATGTCAGTGTCTCCACCTACACACCACCACCACCATCACTACATGTCAGTGTCTCCACCTATACACACCACCACCACCCCTACATGTCAGTGTCTCCACCCCACACACCACCACACACCACCACCACTACATGTCAGTGTCTCCACCTACACACACCACCACCACCACTACATGTCAGTGTCTCCACCTACACACCACCACACCACTACATGTCAGTGTCTCCACCTACACACCACCACCACCACTACATGTCAGTGTCTCCACCTACATGTCATACCACCACCACCACTACATGTCAGTGTCTCCACCCCACACACCACCACCACCACTACATGTCAGTGTCTCCACCTACACACCACCACCACCACTACATGTCAGTGTCTCCACCTACACACCACCACCACCACTACATGTCAGTGTCTCCACCTACACACCACCACCACTACATGTCAGTGTCTCCACCTACACACCACCACCACTACATGTCAGTGTCTCCACCTACACACCACCACCACCACCACTACATGTCAGTGTCTCCACCTACACACACCACCACCACCACTACATGTCAGTGTCTCCACCCACACACCACCACCACCACTACATGTCAGTGTCTCCACCTACACACACCACCACCACCCACACATGTCAGTGTCTCCACCTACACACCACCACCACCACACTACATGTCAGTGTCTCCCACCACTGTCAGTGTCTCCGCCTCTACACATGTCACACCACCACCACCACTACATGTCAGTATCTCCACCTACACACCACCACCACCACTACATGTCAGTGTCTCCACCTACACACCACCACCACCACCACTACATGTCAGTGTCTCCACCTACACACCACCACCACCACCACTACATGTCAGTGTCTCCACCTACACACCACCACCACTACATGTCAGTGTCTCCACCTACACACCACCACCACCACTACATGTCAGTGTCTCCACCTACACACCACCACCACCACCACTACATGTCAGTGTCTCCATCTACACACCACCACCACCACTACATGTCAGTGTCTCCACCTACACACCACCACCACCACTACATGTCAGTGTCTCCACCTACACACCACCCACCACCACTACATGTCAGTGTCTCCACCTACACCGCCACCACTACATGTCAGTGTCTCCACCTACACACCACCACCACCACTACATGTCAGTGTCTCCACCTACACACCACCACCATCACTACATGTCAGTGTCTCGGCCTACATACCACCACCGCCACTACATGTCAGTGTCTCCACCTACACACCACCACCACCACTACATGTCAGTGTCTCCACCTACACACCACCACCACCACTACATGTCAGTGTCTCCGCCTACATACCACCACCACCACCACTACATGTCAGTGTCTCCACCTACACACCACCACCACCACTACATGTCAGTGTCTCCGCCTACATACCACCACCACCACTACATGTCAGTGTCTCCACCTACACACCACCACCACCACTACATGTCAGTGTCTCCGCCTACATACCACCACCACCACTACATGTCAGTGTCTCCACCTACACACCACCACCACCACTACATGTCAGTGTCTCCGCCTAGATACCACCACCACCACTACATGTGAGTGTCTCCACCTACACACCACCACCACCACTTCATGTCAGTGTCTCCGCCTACATACCACCACCACCACTTCATGTCAGTGTCTCCACCTACATACCACCACGTCTACATGTCAGTAGTAGTATGGTCGCTTGAGCAACCTTCCTGAATTTGAAACTATTGATCTGGAATTTGAAAGCGGGTCACGGGTTGGCATACCCGTTATCAATGTCTCTATTGCGCTCCAACAACACGACATTGCCGATATTATTTATTTTACGTGATCATTCACTGCTCCCGGTTCCTTAGCAACGCCCACTTGACGCACTGGTCAATAGATCTGCCTGTAAGGACGGTGATCTCACGTTAACAGCAAACTCGCCTGTTTTGCACGCGTTGAAGGTAGGTTTATCGTACCGTTAATCATCTGCTTTCCGTATGTTTTCGGGTTTCTTCACGTTTACTTTGTTCGGGGTGGGGAGAGGGAGGGGGGAGAGGTAGGGGATGGTGTTTAAGTTACGACGACTAATCTGTTTTGAGGTATTAGAGATGATGTGACATTTTCCTTCCTTCTGACTTCGATTTTTGTACAGTTGCACCTTGATATTACGAATACTTTATTTAAACACATAGTCAGAAGAGAAAAGCACTCTTGTGAAATTGGACCAGGATAGTGTCTGTATTTTGAGATTCCCAAATGAAACTGAAATTGTACAAAATGTAGATCCTCCTCATATACCGTTAACTTCTACGTTGCATTTAATCAAATTTCTTCATACAGGTGACAAGTAGTGGTGGCTGGTCCCATAGATATCAACACGAGATACGTTCTTCAACTTCATAGTTCACAGTGTTACACGGGCACTTTCATAGTTACATTAAGTGATTGACATTCCTTCAAAATACCATCACTCAGTTGAGTCGAAATATCTATGACATAGTGTCATCATGATCCGACAACTTCAAACATTTTCGGGATCGGATGGTCAGGCTCGCTGACTTGTTTGACACATGTCATCGGTTCCCAATTGCGCAGATCGATGCTCATGCTGTTGATCACTGGATTGTATGGTCCAGACACGACTATTACAGACCGCCGCCATATAGCTAGAATATTGCTGAGTGCGGCGTCTAACTAGTCTGGATATTCCATAGCGTGACATTTCTATAAGGACAACATGCTTTGTAAATGTTTCTGCGTTGCTTGGAAATGGCATCGATTTCTGATACAACCGTTCTGATGTCCTTGTCACAGGCCAACAGTTGAAGTCTCGTTGTGAGGATAGTATGACGTCTAAAGAAAGGATTGCCGGATTTATAGTTGGGGTTGGTTGTGCAGCCACGTTTCTTCTCATCTACTCCCCGCTGGTGAGTTGTCGATCTTTGTGTTGACGTGTACATAATGCTGTGTATTATGTTGTGTATGATTTGGGCTTATTTGTCAAGGGCGTATTGAATGTTCAAAGCGAAATGACAGAGCATTTTACATGTAAGTGGCGGCAGCGAGTACACATAATTTTAACACTTTTCGCTATGGAAAAGAATTACAGTTTTTTTTCAGTTTATACACATATTACACGCCAAAATTGTGACACATGTGGTCGTTTTGTTAGTGATTTGGAATGTGCGATTCTATTCGATCGTTTTCGAAATATTTATATGAAAGCTAGTTTATTTTATCTCAATTGTCAAACCCATTTCTGTATATATCTGTATATATCTGTATATATCTGTATATATGATCGTTTATTCAAGGGAATAACACTGGTCAGTATTATACGATTCGCCCGCAGTAATATTACAAGGGGATTCAGTATCACAATGGTTTTGAGTTGTATTAATGAATGTTTGAAGTATAGATTTTACTTAGCCCAGCTGTTTAACATGAAAATATATCAAATATTGTTCAATATTGACGAGGCATATATGTCAACATCAGTCAAATTCGTGTTAGGGACACGATTATAACTAACTAAAATTAATCGTCCCTTTGATTTCGTTAAAAACGTAGCTTACGATAAATATACCATTGTCCTGTGAGATTAAAATGGTGTGTATCTCGTATTTTGATACGAACTTCTTAAGACTTAGTCGTGGCTTTGATCACCATGAAAATATCAACTGTGATAGCTACTCGATTTTATCAAACTGTTATCCACACGAATAACCTAAACATCGGCACATCACTGGATCAGATCAACGTGTTGTTTTAAATACAAATATCAACATCGGCTCATCACTGGATCAGATCAACGTGTTGTTTTGAGTACAAATATCAACATCGGCACATCACTCTATCAGATCAACGTGTTGTTTTGAGTACAAATATCAACATCGGCACATCACTGGATCAGATCAACGTGTTGTATTGATTACAGATATCAAAATCGGCACATCACTGGATCAGATCAACGTGTTGTTTTGAATACAAATATCAACATCAGCACATCACTGGATCAGATCAACGTGTTGTTTTGAATACAAATATCAACATCGGCACATCACTGGATCAGATCAACGTGTTGTTTTGAGTACAAATATCAACATCGGCACATCACTGGATCAGATCAACGTGTTGTTTTGAGTACAAATATCAACATCGGCACATCACTGGATCAGATCAACGTGTTGTTTTGAATACAAATATCAACATCGGCACATCACTGGATCAGATCAACCTGTTGTTTTGAGTACAAATATCAACATCGGCACATCACTGGATCAGATCAACGTGTTGTTTTGAGTACAAATATCAACATCGGCACATCACTGGATCAGATCAACGTGTTGTTTTGAATACAAATATCAACATCGGCACATCACTGGATCAGATCAACGTGTTGTTTTGAATACAAATATCAACATCGGCACATCACTGGATCAGATCAACGTGTTGTTTTGAGTACAAATATCAACATCGGCACATCACTGGATCAGATCAACGTGTTGTTTTGAGTACAAATATCAACATCGGCACATCACTGGATCAGATCAACGTGTTGTTTTGAGTACAAATATCAACATCGGCACATCACTGGATCAGATCAAAGTGTTGTTTTGAATACAAATATCAACATCGGCACATCACTGGATCAGATCAACGTGTTGTTTTGAATACAAATATCAACATCGGCACATCACTGGATCAGATCAAAGTGTTGTTTTGAATACAAATATCAACATCGGCACATCACTGGATCAGATCAACGTGTTGTTTTGAATACAGATATCATTGGCACGTATACATCCATTAAATGATGTTTTATGCGTGAAAGTGAGGCACAGGTTTACATATTTGTCCATATTGCCATGTCATTTTTTCACGAAACTGTCTCTTGGTGTAGGGGCGAGATTGGCTGAGGGCCAAGGTTGCAACGATATTTAAACACAGCATAACGGTATTCCCGGACTCCTGCAAGTAAATTGATATAAATTTATCAATATTCGGGAGTTAATTTGTAGATGTCAATCGATATCCATATCACATTCAATGTGACAAACATATTGTTTACAATTGCAAGGCTGTATAAAGACATGAATAAATAGTGGCAGTTAAATAATTATGTATTAAACACCTGTACATGCAAAAAATCTTTTCATGAAAATCATTTTCTCTTTCAGGCATAAAATATTCCAGCTATATGGCGTACAATACAATACAATACATATACAATACACAATACACAATACACAATACAATACAATACAATTAGTGTGGTTTTCGTCTCCAAAACGTTTCTCAATGCAATAAGCAAGGAGTTTTTATCCCTAAATGTTCGTTATGTATCCCCATACTGTCTGTTGCAGTATAAGTGACATCTACCCGGGAATGTTCATGTTTTCAGTTGGTGAATGGCAATCTTTTGACATTTGGGTACAATGCAGTTTACTGGGCGTCGTCCCAACCAGCGAAACCTGACCGCCGCGGAGCAATTATATCACTATAGCGCGCTCGCTGTCTCGCTATATCGCTGCTCGTCTCAAGCTCGAGTGCTCTTCCGGGAACCTTTTGTTCTGTGGTATTGCATGCATAATCCTGAACAAGAGCCTTGTGTTTATGCATGTGTGCAGGCATGTATGTGAAGAAGCTGATCTTTTGTGTAGGATTGTATAGGATTTCCAATACAATTAAGTCTTTGAATGGCATTTAGAAGGGATACACATAAAGGCAAGACTTGTATGGATGTCAACTTAATTGTAATGGACACGACGTTTGGGGGTATGGAATCTGATTCACCTGATAAAGGAGTAAGGATATACCCCGGAACGTCGTGTCCACCACAGACAGACAGATAATTTATTAACGTCTCACTGCATGTGCATCATAATTTTTTTTAGACAAAATAACAAATGACCAGTAAATGCACATGCTACATTCCTTATGGAATTATGAGAGACTAAATCTAAAATATATACAAGCTACTAAAAATCATAGGAAAGCGCTTGCGCTAAAAAAATAAAAAATAAAATATATGTCTATACACAATTTAACTGCTATACAGCAACCATCACCTCCTAGATAGAATAAGGAATATGGTTTTGGCAACACTACTAACAACTTCATAATTTGACATTAAAAAACAAAATTTCGGTTCTTCGATAAGATTGAAAAATTCACCATAGATAGTACAAATATTGGTAAACAATTCCGATCGCAGGTCATCGTACATCGAGCACTTCAGTAAAACATGCACTTCATCTTCAATACAGTTATCACTGCACAACGGACAGGTGCGTTCTTCCACAGGTAATTTTTCATGACGCCCCGTTTCAAGTCTAATTGGAGCAACCCCACATCTAAATTGGGCAAAAGCGCTTCTATAACATCTTGGCATAAGAATATCAACATATTTTTCAGTAAAATAACCAGTTTTAAAAAGTTTATATGTACGTAATTTACCCGTGGTATTGGATACATCTTCAGACCACGATTGAACAAGCTTTGCAGAGTACATTTCTATCATAAGATCAACAGTTGAACAAGGTAAAAATACATTTACATTACAATACAGTTCCATACCATGCTGGGTAAAAAAAGAGCATACACTAAAATTCCAATTTTTACAATGACGCGACTGACAACTCTCACTCCATATAAATACCATATAAATCACAATTAAGAAGTTGACATCCATACAATTCTTGCCTTGATAAATAAACTGTACAGTACAGTCGAGCACCGTTGTGTCGAACTCGGATAACTCGATATCTCGGTTGTCTCGATATAACATCTATGGTGATCTCTGTACCGGTAAAATCTTTCATAATGTATCATTATTCAATATCTTTTAACTCGATACAGATGTCTCGATATTTCGGATATTTCGATATAATTTCTCGGTCCGAACCAGCTAAATTACCCTTTTAACTCGATATTTGCAAAGAAACTCGATATTCACCTACCTTTTATGGGCAAGTATCCCTCTAAACTGAGGTTGTTTCCACACGTTTACAGACGGTGCGGCTTGAATCAAAGGGATGCGGTAGTGTCAGGGGTCACATGTTTGTTATTTAATTTAGGATTAATTAAGATGGAATTAATTATTATATTATTATATAGAGGATATTACACGAGTACATATAATATAATATACACAAATATAATACTTTGTTTATAACCGAAGTTGAGGAAAATAAACCCGAATCTACTTTCAAACATAGGCTGGCTACACGCCGTCGACGCGTGTAGAACGCAACGTCACAGAAGAAACGTGACGTCAAAGCATTGTTCATCACGTCACGTCACCATGACAAAGTGATATTTGCCCTAGGGCATTGTACGAAAAATATGAACCCCGATATGTTCGCCCTCGTAGGTAATAAATAGTAGTATTATAAAGTAGAACTTTTCTAAAATGTATTATGGCATTCGTGTAGCATACACAGGCCAAATCCAACATAACGATTGTTCTTCAGGATTTACATAACAGACAACCACCTGCTAATGTCTGCCTCATAATACCTCATTGGAATATCTCCTTGAGTAATGGTGGGGAATGCCTGTCTGGGGTGATAACGGATTAACATAACGATTGTTCTTCAGGATTTACTTAACAAACAACCACCTGCTAATGTCTGCCTCATAATACCTCAGTGGGATATCTCCTTGAGTAATGGTGGGCAATGCCTGTCCGGGGTGATAACGGATTAACTGATAAAGTAACCTCGTCAGTTGAGTATCTGACTGAAATTAATATTCCTGTACCAATTTGTAATGCATATTAATTATATATTTCCCATCATTACATGTGTCACAGTCTGTCATACAGACCGTGTAACAAGCATATCCAAAAAGCCTATGCAAGTCTAGGATATGTGGCAAGTCCGGATATGTAGCAAGTCTAGGATATGTAGCCTAGGATATGTGGCAAGTCTAGGATGTGGCAAGTAGGATATGTAGCAAGTCTAGGATATGTGGCAAGTCTAGGATATGTCCAGGATATGTTCTAGATATGTGGTAAGTCTAGGATATGTGGCAAGTCTAGATTTCCACAGTTTCAGAAAGAAAGTCTCATTCATTATATTTAACTTTTATATTATGACTTTTTCGCCTGTAAAATCTGCTCATTTCAGAGACTAGTTGTTAGTGTACATGTGTCATTAAGCATCATTTAGGTCATTGTAATGTTTTCTGATACATTTAATCATACAACATACATCTCATTCAATATGTTGAAGCTGTAAATGATAGCATGATAAATATTATTGTTCATTAAGAAGCACGACATGCCCTTCGCTCTTCAGATACCACGAGTGTTTCAACCGATATCGTCATTATGTTTACAAACGGCTTGGTTTTAAATAACTATCAGTTTAGATGTTCAGTCTCAATGGATTGATTGTAGACTGTTTATTCGGATTGGTACTAGGGTTTCTTAGCGCAATAAAAGTCTTAAACTTTTTGCAAACAAACTTGTATACCTGTAAATAAGGAAACTACACGTTGAGGGCTGCCACTTCCATCATGGTGAATGCCAGGTACATACATACATGCAGCTTGTACATCACCTGAGTGCACAGACTGCAGGAGCAAAATGTGCCAGAGACCAGGATGTACCTGCTGGCAGCCAGCTCATCTGTATGGCAAGCTGTTAGGGACAAAATTGTGAATTTGTGACGTCTGTTTGGGTTGCTGTGCTATATGAACAGTTCAACCTGTGACACAACATATATCTCGTTCAATATTTGCGGGTGCATGTGATAGCACGTTCTAGTGCTTGAAAGATTGTATTTCAGAAATATCTAAAAAAGCCATACCATGTTACTGACACAAATGTTTGTAGTAAAAGTGACTTTTCAAGTTATTAGTGTTCGTATTGCCCTTGTTAGAAATATCTAATTGCTGAGTGCGGCGACAAAACAAAAAAGAAAGTATTTTAAAAAGTATAAATAGATAAAAAGTTAATTGTTTTCTAAGGACACTAGGGGCAGTTTGTGTTGTCCTGCCTTGAAATCAAACTCAATTTTGATTATTGGTCTTTATATTTTCCACATCATGATTTTCTTTATTTATTGAATATTGATCAGGTTGAATATTGAATATTGATTTTGCATATTGTTTACTTATTGACATCAATAAAACGCAAAAAGAAACAAACAAAACAAAACAAATTATGCTTGGGAAGGATAGCATCTCTGAACAATTGAACTCAACCAGCCGCAAAGACCGGTAATTAAAACCAGACTCCAATGCACATCCATATCACATATAATTATGCATCCTTAACAAAACAACAACCCCCACCCCCAACCCCCAAAACCCCCAAGGTTCTGAAGCATTTAAAATCAATTCTTTTTACAGCAGCAAGTCACAGATAGGAAGGATGGACCCAATGAACATAATACGGTGTCTAACGTGGTGGTAATGCCGAGCATGGTAAATTAAAGGAGTGTCTATTTTATTAATCATAAATTATGTATCCAATTTTTGTCATTAAGATAAGCCATCTTGTTTGTACCACAGGTAAATTCACAAGCAACGCGGTTTTTTACCAAAGAGGGGTTTATACTGATTAAAAACAATATTAAGTTTCTATACGCTCATGATTTTGTTTGTTTTTGGTGGTTTTTTTTGTATTGTCACTCGGATCTTCACGGGTAAGACACTCCAGGAGGATATTAATTAGCTTGGAAGTATATACGATGAAACTGAATTGGCCGTTTGTAAGAGCTTGAGCAGGTATATCGAATTAATCATGTTGAAAAACATTAAATGGCTCCAGATTTTGGACGCTCAAAAGATTTTACTGCAAACAGAATTTCTGTTGCCAAAAAACAAAATGTGCCTTTCATCATTTCATAGAAGTAACATATGATTCGTTTTCTCTATTCAACATCCAGAACTACAAGCACTGTATTCCTATCTTTACTTCAGCAAAGAAAATCAGACTGGAAGTTGAATGCAGAAAGAAACGTGGATGGACCACTCAAGGAACTCCGTCAGCAGGGACAGGTATGAAATTCCCCTTGCATCATATCATCATCTCCAAGCAAATTGCGCCCGAATTTGCCGTGCAGAGTTGCCTCCCTTTGAAGAGCCAGTTCCCGCGTGACTTTATCACGTTTGTCAGCAACATACACATGTGCACTGCATCATGGGTAAAACTGTAACATCTCCATCACTTTGGGCGTGCAGGAAACCTGGGTTCGAATCCCGGTATACTCTTGGCTATAGGTATCTGTGAAGCGACACTGATCACAGCCGAGATAGAGAAAATCCGCTCACTCACTTACAGCTCACATAGTCTTGTTGTTTGGATACTTTGAACATACTGGATGATCTGTCACGATTGCCGCGTGTTTGGTTAGTGCAGCGATCTATCTCAGTAGGTGGATCCTGGCACAGATAAGGGAAGCAACTCTGCAAAAGCATGTTTCACGTTGAACCATTTTCTCACTGCCTTGCCTGTTACAACCAATATTGTTTTTACATTGTGTGTGTGTTGGGTATATTACATTTAGTGTCTGGTATGCTAATTTTTATACTTGAAATAACCAAGCAATAACTGATATGTAACAATACAGATCGATTCACATCCTAACTACCAAATATTGAAATGTTGTGACTGAAACCTTTCATATGAACATGTTGGAGAAATCTGGAGACAAGCATACTTTGTCAAGGACCCACATTCGGAATCCCTACAGGGAGACTAGCACTGTGGAGCCCGATGTTGATATATATAACGTTATAAATAAATTTTAAATATAATCCTCAAATGGAAACAAACATACCTTGTCAGGGACCTACACCAAAGGAAGGAACAGTATTTGCCAGATGGGAGGAAATAAACGTATCATCCGGGGCCCATATGACCGACGTTTCAAATGTACATACAATTTTCGCCGCCAAATTTGCATTTGTAATGCAGCACATGAATTAAAACAGTACGAACAAGTATAATCTTGAAAAAACCTTATGGATAACAACTTCTTCGTTTTTTTTGTGAGTGGGATGTTTTGATACTGATTCTTATACAGATGTAACAATGCTGAAGCCAGAGACATAGTTTATTGGGCGATGTACCCCAACATTGGGCTTGGTGGAGGAGTTCATCAAAAGCAGAATGAAATGTCCTTGAGCTCGGTTGAAGGTGGACTTTGGCGTTCGATGTGAATGGCTTCAGTGAGTTTGCGTTTTGTGAATTCCATTTGATTGTTCGCAAGAATGCTGATGTCAGTCCAGTTTATTGGTGACTGGGGCCTGATTGTTGTTTTAGGAGTCTGCTGATTTAATGTGATGGTTTGCCAATGTAGGGAATGGATATCCTGAGGGTGGCTGAATCTGGTTCAGGTCTTTTAAAGGAAGATGACAGAATAGCCGCAATGTTTCTGTTGAGATAAGATAAGAAAAAAGATAAGATAAGATAAGATAAGATAAGATAAGATAAGATAAGATAAGATAAGATAAGATAAGATAAGATAAGATAAGATAAGATAAGATAAGATAAGATAAGATAAGATAAGATAAAACTTTAATATCCCGGAGCAAATTCTTTTTTCATCAAAATGGTCTCAAAATGAATATAAACATAATTCACAAAATATATGCACAATAATTACATGTACAAAACGAATGCTAGTTACGCACATATACACAATAAAACTGACATGATTCAATACAATGAACCACATAGGTAAAGAGGCTGGATAATTCTAGTGGTTATCACATCATGATCATTCAAAACATGTGTTGCATTCACGAATACTGGATTGTATGAACGACTGCCGAGCTCTGTTTGTTTTGAGGGAAAGTAAACGAAAGCTGCGTCCAGAAGAAAGTTGTTCAAAATGGTGACATAAAATATGGGAACCATCAGTTCTATTTTTAGTTGCATTTGTTAACAATCCGGTACTCAAAGATAAAGGGAATATACTCGAAAGACACTGCAGCAATTTTGTTGGCAGTATTAAAATTTTTGAAACGTTTGTTTATGTTGAGAGCAGACAGACCCCCATACCAACATAGAAAATTGTAGGTCAACACACTTTGAATAAAGTTTTGATAAAAACGGTCATAATGGTTTTGTCAATAGGAAATTTTCTTAAGCGGTGAAGAAAATATAGTCGCTGTTGGCCGGTCTTTTTGTAAATGTGATTGATATGTTTTGAAACGAGAATGTTTTGAATCTAAACTAACACTGAGATATTTGTAACGGTCCACACTTTCAATTTCTGCATTATTATATTTCCTACATTTGAAGGATGAATTAGTAGGAAATTGTTTTCTCCTACCGGTGTGTAACGAGAGCTACCTGCCCCGCGGGGTGGCACTGTCAAGGATATATAAGAGTTACTCAATTTGAATTGGTATTTAGGTCTGCCGAAATGCCAACAGGCGAAGGCGACCTCAAAAGCACCTAACTGAAGAAGAAGAAGAAGATTTGGTCATTCTCGCTGAAAGTACACCACGGCCACTTTATGATGGACGCAAATGCTAAACTTGACGCCCTCTTGAAACAACAAGAAGAGCTACAATCCTCTATTGATAGTCAGATTGGCGCATTAAGAGACTCTACTTTGGGGACAAACCCTGAAGACACGAGATTGGTTGTAAAGACTGCACCTTGTGATAAAGCTAAATCCTGTGAAGCACCGGACATAATACCATCGTCCAAAAACGCAACAATGTTGTGTCCATCAGAACGCCACTTCGTCACTAACTGACGTGTAACCTTAGTGAATACCTAAGGAGCTGAAGTCAGACCAAACGGTAAGACTAAGAATTTGTAATAGCATATATCACCACCAGTATCACGCCATGCAAACCCAAGATAATCAGTATGAGCAGCATGTCCCAATATTGATCATGACTGTGTTTTCTTGTTACTGTATGTAACGGTGTTATGTTGGAGAAATCAATTATAGGAGGATGTAGAGGTTAGGATGGATAGTGGTTTGGTTCCACATAGATTTTCTTCAGCTTCTTCTTGTAAAGGGGTGGTGGCCTTGTGGTGAAAGCGCTTGCTCGTCTTGCTGAAGGCCTGGGTTCGATTCCCCATATGGGTACAATGTGTAAACCTGTTTCTGGTGTCCTCAGCCGTGATGTTGCTGGAATATTGCTGAAAGCGGCGTAAACCCATACTCATTCACTCTTCTGGTATATTTATTCAGACAAATTCACAGCTCACTAACTATTTGTAATATTGCCTCATCTCTGTCTTTAAATTAGCATCGGGCACTTCCTCTTCCGGTAAGACATCTGCTTGATATCTACTCCACAAAAAAGTATTTAATCCTAGACCAATATTTTAAAGGTTTTGTTTTATATCTGAATCCTAAACTTATTTGAAATTGTCTGGACTGAGAACGTTATAGAGGTAAGTGTAGCCAAGTACATTGATACGATATTCAGATAATCAATGAAGTACATTTTGTGTCTGGGTCTGTTTTGGTTTTTTGTACTGCGATAAGACGTGGCACCCCACTGATATAAATCGCTATTACTGGAGCGGTGAATTTATTGACACAACTATCACTTGTCAACGGCAAATTGTGTTTCTACATTCCCGTTGTTTGACTTATAAGTAAGCCATTTTCGTGGCCCATTATGTTTGCACATGGGTCTTTAGAAGTGTTTCATCTTCGGGCGGGATATTAACACCAGACAGTTGTTTAATTAAGTTAAAATACATTGAAACATTACGTCAGAGCAAGGGTACATATTCGCCCATGGACATGATACTACTATCAACACTATAATGGAGTTATGCTGTTGAGTAGCGCATGCTCAAACGTGAGATTATGACATCAGTACTGGCTAGCTATTCTCGAAACATTCGTAGCCCTACGAACTTCTTAATCCCATTCTTAACACATTGGCTACGATAAGAATTCCTAGAGCTACGAACGTTTTAAGAATAAGGGCCCTGGTGTCTCTGCTATGATGGTGGAATTGGGTTTAACGTCGTGCTGGAGAATATTCGCTCATATGACGACGTGCATGCGTGTGTATGTGTATGTGCGGCTGCTTGTACTAGCCCAGACTTAAGCTGGTTTTATAGTGCTAGCCCTCTGAGATACCATGCCGCAGTGAAGCAGGAATACCCCACTCAGACACATTATACTGACTCCGAGTCGACCAGTCCTTGTTGTACCCATTAATGCCGAGCGCCAGGCAGGGACCAACAAGTGCCATATTTTAACGTATTTTTGGTCTGACGCGGTCGGGGATCGAACTCACGACCTTCCGCTCTCCGGGCGTACGCTCAAACCACTACACCACGGAGGCGGTCGTCTCTGCTCTGAAATAATTGTACCTTGTAAAAGATAAGTTTGACGAACAAATTTCGTTACGTTTAAAGTTTAGTGCGGGTAAACTATAGACCTAGGTTGTTACTACAATTGCCATCAATGTGAACATTTCACCGCAAACACAAAAATGTCGTCTTCTTTCTCTACATGGGCGAAAACCTAACGCTTTTTGCCATCGGTTGTTCGCCCAAATAACGTCCTTCTGTAACATCGGAATTTCCGGCGAGGTAACCACCTTATCAAGCTCCTCACATTTCTTGATTCATATCTCTATTTCTCAGGTTTAATTGTTCAGCCCTTGCGTGTCAGATTAACAAGGTACCAAACTAAGGCCACCGAGAACAATTGGGAGTCGGCCGACAGTGTACTTGGGTTACAAGCAAGACTTTATTAGCATTATCTCTTCCGTGTCAGATTACAACACAGACTATCGCGTTGTGTTTGTAGCTTTGTGTCCATGTGATTGATCGTAACGTTCTCTCGAGCATCTTACCGTACAATGCTATATGCGGACCGTTCTCAAAATCTGTGTAGGAGATACGCTGAGTATCATCGTCAACGTTAAAAAAAATGTATAGAAGTCGTTCGGTTGTGGAAAAGGATATCTCATATTGACCCGAATAGACTTGTAAGTGAGTGAGAGATTGAGTATGGTTTTACGCCGCTTTTAGCAATATTCCAGCAATATCACGACGGGAAACACCAGAAATCGGCAGCACACATTGTACTTAAGCTGATTTTATAGTGCTAGCCCACTGAGATACCATGCCGCAGTGAAGCATGAATATCCCACTCAGACTCATTATACTGACTCCGAGCCGACCAGTCTTTGTTGTACCCATCAATGCCGAGCGCCAGGCAGGGACCATATTTTAACGTCTTTCGAACCCGCGACCTTCCGCTCTCCGGGTGGACTCTCTAACCACTACACCACGGAGGCGGTCACAAGACGTCTATTGAGTCACTTCAATAACAGGCACAATCAGTCAGATGATTATTAGGAGATACAACATTGCGCTTTCCAACATAATGTATATTTTGCACGCTCGCCCACTGCAGTCAATGAACCGTGAACCGGTGGTTCGGATCGACTTGTCAATACCATGTTAGTAAAAAAATTAGATATTATTGAATTTCAGTTTGTTTTAATGTTATATCTACTAAAGAGAGATTTAAGCATTCGGTAAGATAAATTCGTGGCAGCATTTGATTCAGGGTATATGGGGTTTTATGTGTCCCTCCCTAGTTAGGTTTTGTCACAAAGCTACAGCTTGTTCAGCGTGACTTGATGATTGCGTGACCTTGTCACAACTAGTTGGGTCTATTATTGTGCACCTTGTGAGTTGATTGTCTGACAGCCGAGACAAGGTCTGCGTTTGACATCTCAGTGTGGAGAAATCGTCAGCAATGTCCCAACTTTCTTTAAAAAAGAAGCTAAAGATGGTTTAATGTTTCCGATTTGGGCTTTAAGGCGACTATTGGCCCAGGACAGCAATATTCCAGTTGAACATGAAATAGAAAAAGTGATAATTGAACTGTGTGTGGAGAGTGGTAGCGAGAGTGAATCGGATTGTGAAAGTAACTGACGTCTTTACGTTGTAAAGTTAGTAAACAAACTGTGATATGTCTCGTTATGCATTCGTCTAGTACTTTGGTGTTTGATAATGTGGGGATTTTTATGGGGTTGGGGGCTGTAATGATGGAAGTGTCGTTTTGTTTTTGTTTATGTTGTCCTGAAAGTTTGTGTTGTGTGGAGACAATTTTAATGCAAATTATTTATATATTTCATATATTTCATGAAATGTATATGCACACATATTTATAAAAATTGTCTTTTTCATTGAGTCGTTTTGTAGACAAAATAATTATGCATATTGACTGGCCGGGTGGGCGTTTAATACATCTATGTGTGAAATTTATAACTGGTGATTTATGTGTTGTGGCGAGTTTGGCTGCTGTGTCTGCTATTTGATTACCAGAATTATCTGTGTGTCCAGGAATCCACAGGGAGTTTATATTTTAATTTAAAGAATTAAAGTATGAATTTTAGTGATGATGTTGTGTATAGTGTCCTTTCGTGACCTTGAGTGCATGTTATGTATCTGGCTTCAGTGAGTCGGAGATGAGTAGGAAGCAAGAGTGCTGGAAAGTTGGTATTAAGTGCAGCGCAGGTAGCACAGCTAATAATTCCGCAGTGGTAATGGTTGTGTCAACGGAGATGAGTAGGAAGCAAGAGTGCTGTAAAGTTGGTATTAAGTGCAGCGCAGGAGGTACAGCTAATAATTCCGCAGTGGTAATGGTTGTGTCAACGGAGATGAGTAGGAAGCAAGAGTGCTGTGAAGTTGGTATTAAGTGCAGCGCAGTTAGCACAGCTAATAATTCTGCAGTGGTAATGTTTGTGTCAACGCGTGGTATATATGCGTCGACTGGGGAATTAGCTCATAATTAAGATGAAGTGTGCGTTGATGAAGACGAAGGCATAGTTGAGTTCAAACGTCTTTAGTACATGACAAACACATACACAAGACATGAGCGAGGTGAGCGGAGTACCTGCTCAATCCCAGGGCGTTTCCTACGAGCGGCATTATCCTGCTCGTGGTCGTCCCAACAGACAGTCCAAATACCGAACTCGTACTCCTTCGCTGTCTAGATGTGAGCATACTAAGTATATATACAGTTTTTGACAACAATGGACAGGCGACGACTCATCAATGGACAGACAGAAAAACAAAAGCACTTCCTTGACCAGTTGATGTGATGGCAGACACGGCCAAGGGGGATTACCAATGAAGGTTATAAATGTCTTATACAATAATTAATGGGCTGACAAGTCAATGTACAATGCGGTAGTGATAAGGATGTACAGTATTGATTAAGAATACAGGTTAGCGTCATATAGATTATTACAATAAAGTCTCACATATCTGGACTACATAGGTTTTGGACTTTTAAAATATTTGGTCGAAGGCTGTCCTGAATAAGTCTCTATAACAGTTGTATAGATTGAATAGTGTCGGTTGATTTGAGTAAAACATATTTTATTCATTGAAGAAAAGGATTGGGCACAAGTTATCCAACTTAATGACGCCCTCTCCCAATATTTACAACAATTATATTTACATGAGAAACAGAGAACATATACATGAAAGATCTTGATTTGAGAATATAACAGATTAGTATGAACAGAGGAATCGTTTAGTTTGATTGATGTAATGATTTGAAGATATTCAGATCTTCTTCGGTTGAGAGGTCTGCATTGACATATAAAATAAGACATATATCTAGTAAATATCTACTTTGTAAAATATCACTTATGTTAGCTAACAAAGTTTCTCTATGTGTTTTATAACGGGGACAATCCAAGAAATAATGATATACATTTTCACAGAGACATCCACAAGAACATGATGGATCGGTTATAATGTTGATATGACTCGTATAGAATCAACATCAACATTATAGCGCCGGTTGTTTCAGTAACCCATGCTTGTCGTAAGAGGCGACTATCGGGATCGGGTGGTCATGCTCGCTGACTTGGTTGACACATGTCATCGTATCCCAGTTGCGAGGCGAATGATGTTAGTCACTGGTTTATCTGGTTCGCAACAGACATACCTTCAATTTAAAAGCGGAGTTATATCCTATATTGTTTTACTGCTGTAACACGCGGACGAACAACAGGCATTCTGCCTCAATAGATCGTGAAAGTGAGTCTATACCAGTATCTTTCGTCATTATATATTAAGATATGTGAATCTTTGATTCAGATTGTACTACCGGAGAAAGATGCTATAGCGAAAATGACCGTCAGTCAAGCGTTCAAAACATACCACAGGTATAGTATACATTTTGTGAGTGAGTGAGTGAGTTTAATTTTTTTTACGCCGCACTCAGCAATATCCCAGCTATATGGCGGCGGTCTGTAAATAATCGAGTCTGGACCAGAAAAGCCAGTGATCAACAGCATGAGCATCGATCTGCGCAATTGGGAACCGATGACATGTGTCAACCAAGTCAGCGAAACTGACCACCCGATCCCGTTAGTCGCCTCTTACGACAAGCATAGTTGCCTTTTGTGGCAAGCATGGGTTGCTGAAGACCTATTCTACCCGAGCGTACAGACTTTTCAAATATGAAACAGTAAAGGCGGTCTCACCTGTCTCCTGAATTTCAAGCTCAGGTGGGTAAATCAGTGGAAGTGAATTGGCTATTTGATCGATATTAAATCATCAATAAACCTGAAGCTTAAGTTAAACTTCTTGGCCAAATTACCATGTTTTGATTTTGCCAACCCAAGTGATGTTTCAATCTATATTAATTCCTCCAGGTCGATCACAATTAACTGAGTGGAATTGTTCCCGATCAACTTCAAACTGAGCTAGATTTCAGTTGAAAACAATTATGCGAATGAAGTTAGTCCTCCTAACTAGGGCACGTACGGGTTTTCTCCCTGTTATCTCCTGTAGTTTTCAAGCTCATATCCCACGTGAACTGGCTTTCTGTTTGATTAATTCTTGTTTCATTCATAACAGAAAATGTTTTTCTCGCATCCTCCATTACATCCAATGCTTATGTTGCAAAAAAGGTGATTCTTTCCTTGAACAGCATTCATTGAGTTCCCGAAGAAAACCATTAGGTCACGCAATTAAAATATTCATGTTCCAAAAATCAAAATCAAAACATAACAGTACGACATAGCTCATTGACCAAAACTGATTGTTTGTTACCCGCAGTTTGTTACCTGCAGTTTGTTACCTGCAGTTAGTTACCTGCAGTTAGTTACCTGCAGTTTGTTACTTTTGTAACCTAATGTTTACTTTGTAGATCCCGTGGTCACATCGTGTTATTACACATTCATCGTTACATATCTGGCGTACAATATACCCCAGTACATTATGCCCAGCCTATTATAAAAATACATATTCAGTCAACCCTTAAAGATGTAGGGTGTATCATTTCATGTTCATGAACCTGATAATTATATATATGCTACAGGATTGGTTAGGCCTCTTCACGATAAATTACATGTTAACATAAAAACATGCATTCCCTTGACAAAAAATAAAAAATAATGTTATCTCCTGTTTAACATTTGACAAAAGCGACAAAACCTGTCCTGGGATAATATTAAAAATACTACATTTCCAGGTCAACTGCACCCTCTCAGCGTCTTAGGCATGAATAATTACCCAACCATTGATTAAACGGGGTGCTCGAGAAAAGTCAAGGTCACCTCGCCCCACCGTCGGTACACGTAAACTCTTTCAATGGTAAGTCAGTTGTTTACCAGAATAGACATTCATGGGGACAACTGGTTAAAGGGGGTGGGACATCATGTTGATAATTGTAAGTGGTTCTTCTTATCTGGAAATGCAGCCAACACGTCGAAAACGAAGGCTTTTGAGATCCCCAACCAGGTCCCGAATGCTCACAACCCAGCCAAACAGCCAACGGGCATCAGTGGAACACCTTACCAAAATCAGAAGTCAAGATGATTATAGTCATTTTACCCCAACCAAAAATTAATATGACGTAGTCGATACTAGTAGTGGAGTAAATCGTATGTATCCTTATGAGTGAGTTTAGTTTTCGCCGTAGTCAACAATATTCCAGCTATATGGCGGCGGTCTGTAAATAATCGAGTCTGGACCAGACAATTCGGTGATCAAGAGCATGAGCATCGATCTACGCAATTGGGATACGATAACATGTGTCAGCCAGCCTGACCACCCGATCCCGTTAGTCGCCTCTTTCTACAAATTGATTACTGAAGATCAAATCTAACCCGGATCTTCACGGGTCTGAATCATCTTATGACATTTATTGCAAGCTCCCCATATACTGTGTTTAAAGGTCAATCGGGGACAAATGTACTCCACTAATTTTGATCTAGCTGGGGGAAACGATTGAAACATCACCTGTGATATTCTTATGGCGAAGCACAGCTTACACATTCAATTATAACAACAAAATATCCTTCTGAAAATAACAAACATGCAGTTCCACCAAGTATCACCAAACATGTGTGGATTTCAGGTTTCTTAATCTCAGACAACTGTTCTGTAGAAACTCTAGAAAAGCACTGAATGAAAATTATAAGTATGTTAAAATATTCAATGAAACATGAGAGCTGACGTTGTGTTACAGCATAACCTAGCCTTTAATAACGATTACATCTTAATGTATCCTTCGTGACGACGTCGTGGCGTGTATCCTTCAATTTCAAAACCCAAAACCGGACTAAAACCATGTGTCTGCCTTATGTTGAAAAATACCGATAAATTTACGTTTTGACTGACTATGATATTATGGAGGTAGCGGATGTCCCGGTTTGAATTATTTGTACGCTGATGGAAACATACTCACATGGATCAACGCAACTCAGTCATAAGATTATTTAAGAATGGCCCCCTATGGTGGAGACAAACGTGATAGGAAGTGTTCCAACACGTTTGTCATTAGTTTGTCAGATCAAATACTTATATCGCTAACGTGATAGGAAGTGTTCCAACACGTTTGTCATTAGTTTGTCAGATCAAATACTTATATCGCTAACGTGATAGGAAGTGTTCCAACACGTTTGTCATTAGTTTGTCAGATCAAATAATTATATCACTTACGTGATATATCACTAACGTGATAGGAAGTGTTCCAACACGTTTGTCATTAGTTTGTCAGATCAAATACTTATACCGCTATTTCAGATCAAATATGTCCTATACTCTCTGTAAGACTTTATTTAGTTAAAGCCTGATATCAATTCAATGCAGAGCCTACATATTACAGTATTGTTAAAAAATTGTTATCATTAGTATAGTTTGTTGTAAGTATATTTTATGCGAAAGGACACCTCCTATAACCATGTGTGTATCCGATATAAGAAAAAAATGATTTAATAATCTCTCTCTCTCTCTCTCTCTCTCTCTCTCTCTCTCTCTCTCTCTCCCTCTCTCTCTCTCTCTCTCTCTCTCTCTCTCTCTCTCTCTCTCTCTCTCTCTCTCTCTCTCTCTCTCTCTCTCTTCTAAACTGTTCTAATACATACTCTTGCAATCCAGAATGACTTTACTGTAGATTAACTGAAAATAATAGAAGAACTAAATAGGTTTTAGGAAATAATAAAGCCATAAAATTACCAACAGAATTTAATTTGCATAAACTGAGCAAGTGGCTGTACTGCCCCTTGCCAAACTCTTCTAAAGGCAAAAGCACATGGCATCAATGACATGCCCTGGGGCAGTTACCTCTCTTGGGAGGGTTATTGAAAAGTGGCAAAGGAATAAAACGACATAAGAGTTAAATGACACATGGTTGAATGCAAAATAGAAATTTAACGGAAAATGATTTATAAAATAATTTTTTCAGGTAAATAAGTGTTTTGACCGTAACACTGGTAAACTTAGAAAAGATAAGAAATTTCATTACCGATTACAATTGAGAGGCACGTATTGGTAATACTCTATGTTCATGCATTTCCTGAAGTACCAACTTTTCAATTCATACTTGGAAATGTCTGCAAATCCGGTCGTAGCATACACATAAGCGTATCACATAATATCATCTACGTCATACCGCAACGGTGTATGTAAATTAGATTAGTGGGATTCGCCGGTGTACTCAAAATCTAAACATCAGTGAACTTGTACCAGAGATATAAGCAAATGGCACCGAATCGTTCTGTTGACCAAAGTTTCAATTATTCTGCAATATTATTTTCAAGTATTGTTTTTTTCAATAATTAGAGGAAATCTTTTCTAACCAAATGAATATACCCAAAAGGCGTTAACAGGTTGTTTGCATCGGTTCACAGTAGAAAACATGTATCACTACATGCGATGTATACGTAAGATTTCAATGTTAACTTTGAAGCAATATTTTTATTAAGTTAAACAGTAATGTGAAATTCAAAGGCTTAGGAAGTACCGATAAGCTAAGACTCGGTTGATATTCCTAAATGACAATGAATCCTGTATTTATCAGCATGAAATATTGATAATATGCACTGGATTAGCGAAGATGATCTATCATATCAAAGTATTACAACACTCTCTACGCATTCGCCAAGGTATCTTCGTGTCGGAAATGACATTGTCAGTTTTAAGGACATATTCAGCACAGAATGTTTCTCGCTTATTGATTTGTTTTGAGTCTCGAGACATTGAGAAGAAGCAGCCACTATGAACCTATGGTGCCAATTTGTGGGATTTGTTGGCCCAGAAATATATAAGTTGTATAAAGTGGACTAGTAAGCAATCTTGACCATAATCCTGTGATTGACACCTCAATAATTAATGACTATATGAATACTAATGTCTGACTCTATTGGCTATTTAGTTACCTTGACAACGTAGATACAATGTGCTACCGGAAGTTGCGCATGGGAAAACTGGGAGATGGAGGCTGGGAGATCTGTGACGATGCCAACTACCGACCAGTAAAGCCATGTATCGTGTACTCGTTTGGGTGAGTAGTCAACTGATTAGAATACGTAATAGTTAACTAAACAGAATACGCATTAGGCTAAGACACAGACGCCGAATATAGTCCAGTAAAGCCCTGTATCTTGTACTCGTTTGGGTGAGTAGTCAACTGACTGGAATACGTATTAGTCTAAGACACAGACGCCGAATACAGTCCAGTAAAGCCCTGTATCGTGTACTCATTTGGGTGAGTAGTCAACTGACTGGAATACGTATTAGTCTAAGACACAGACGCCGAATACAGTCCAGTAAAGCCCTGTATCGTGTACTCGTTTGGGTGAGTAATCAACTGACTGGAATACCTATTAGTCTAAGACACAGACGCCGAATACAGTCCACTAAAGCCCTGTATCGTGTACTCATTTGGGTGAGTGGTTTTACTATGCATGACAGGCAATGGGGAAAATCGAATTTGAATGTGGAGCATTAACGGATATTTTTTTTTTCAAATGGCCACAAATATTCAGTTATACAGCGTTGCCCTGTTTCAGATTTGTAATTGTGATTGTCTCAAGGGCCCGTGCATCCTTCACTTTCGTTTGGCTGTCAAATAGATGTATCTACCGAAATAAAGACTTTAAAGATATTACGCGAAACTGTTGTGGCAATGTTCCTTCATGAATACACAATGCCGCTTAGAAAGTGGTCAGTTAAAACATATATATATGTTATATTTGGGATCACACTTTCTCAGGAAAGTACCAAATCTGGTACTTTTGACAGGTTGACTCCCATCCGGGATTCGAACCCAAAGTCAGGCACCTTATTGCCAGCACACAAAGTCAACAATTTAACCCACCCAGCCATCGCGAGGCCGCGGATGGGACTCAACCCAAAACAAATACCAGAATCGGTTCTTTACAAAGAAAGTGTAATCCCTAATGTAACATATGTTACAAATGTTCCTTCATGTTGAATTATATGGCATGTATGTAATTTAGAAATAACTTCGAAGTAGTGGTGTTTTTCTTTTACTTCAGAATCAGCAACGATTTTTCTTTTGACGATGACACGGCCAAAAACTACGAGTGTAATGTCTTTTCCTTTGATCCAAGGTTTGTATATACGCTTGTTAATGTCTGCTGGTACGTTATGTACTCGTTCGTTCGTTCGTTCGTTCGTACGTTCGTTCGGCGTTCGTTCGTTCGTTCGTTCGTTCGTTCGTTCGTTCGTTCGTTCGTTCGTTCGTTCGTTCGTTCGTTCGTTCGTTCGTTCGTTTCTTAATTGCACACTCTGCAATATTCCTATTATATGTCGGATGTCCTGAGTAAGCAAGCCTGGTCAAACCAGTGGCTGATATTATGAGCAATGGCGGATTACGACGACGCAATCAACCAGGCCTGACCAGCCGATCCACTATGTCGTCTCTTACAACAAGAACTGGCTTCTGTGGACCACTATGAAATCCCTGGTGGTGGTGGTGGTGTTATATGTTTTGGTCAAGGTGGTCTAATAAGAGGCCTATATCCGCCTTATACAATGAGTGAGTGAGTGAGAATGGTTTTACGCCGCTTTTAGCAATATTATGGCGGGGGACACCAGAAACGGGCTTCTTACATTGTACTCATGTTTGGAATCGAACCTGGGTATTCGTCGTGTCGAGCGAGCGCCCTAACCACTAGGCTACCCCTAATGTGAAGCTTTATAAGAATAATGCCATGAAAGGTAACAGATTCAAGAACACGCACGACATTCTTGCGGGCTGGTTTTGTAGATTGTACGTCTGCTTTTTAGGAAATCTAATTATATATCGCTGCGAATTTAAAAACAATATGTTAATATACGTAATCAACTTTAATCTTTGACACTGGGCTTATACTACATTATATTACATTTCTGGGAATGTTTCACAAGGTTTCACGAGTGTTCAGTTGGAAAGTATTTCAAGTCATTTTTGAGTATCTGTGTTTTTTAAATTTTATGTAGCTGAAAAAGATTATATCATTTGCATATTCTACAAAGCAAATCCCATGTATGATTCTTAAACCCTATTCAGAAATATACATTTGGAAATTTTAGGTGAACGGCCGATAATAGTTACATAAGAATATGTGTTTAACAACTGCTTTGTTTTCCTTCTTTTAGTTGTATCAAAATGTTTTGGGTACAGGATGGTATTCCCGTTCGTTTTGCGTCGCCTGCTACGGATTTTGGTAACGCAACGAATCTGCGGATGTAGCTTTGGAACTGGGTGAAAGAATGTCCTTAAAATAACTTCGTGGTCATCTGATCAATCCGCGCATATGTGATGTACCCTGTGTGTACCAGTATGTATCCTTATGTACCCTCAGCCGTTAGGCTGACATATGTACATCACTTCACACGCACCAGCTAATATTCGAATAACATACCTCACGTGCGATGAGTTTACCATTTGTATCTAACATTATTGTTGATATTTGGACAAACTGTGTCATAAACATCGCCTATTATCGTTGATGCTGTATTATAGTAATAATAGTGATAATAATCATATTTCAGTATGACCCAGGCATCCTACCAGAGGTCACCGCGTGTCCGGTTTTTTAAATCAGGCCTTGGCGGAAAAGACCAGAAGAGCAATTCCTGGGATTTACAGACATTGACAACCATCAAGAAAATGTTGAACCACACCGGGGTCAGTGACATTTTGAATAATCTGAAATTATATATTTTACAAATATTTGGAAATTTGCTCCTCGTGAACTAGGAATTTTCTCTCTTCTCTAAATTATGTGTCATTTAGAAAGTGGTCAAACGTAACAAGTGTTAAAGTTGAGTTTTTTAATTTGTTGGGGGTGAGTCCTATCTGGGCTTCGGAACCATGTTCACAGAGTTCAAATCGCCATGCAAAATCAGCGACTCCCTCAGCCATCGCGGCTTCCACAACTGGTATTTTAAATCACGTACTCTCGGCTGGGTTCACTCAGGTTCCAGAGTTGGTAATAATTGTAATTCGAATTTAGTTATAGTTGTTTTTAATGTCGCAGCACAGGTCATTTTAGCGACATAAGTATCAAGAAATTATATAATTAATTGGCCCATAAAGGGGGTCAAGGTTCGCATGATCTATGGGTCAGTTGTTTAAAGCCGCAAGCAGAAACGGTATATTCCATCGGTGGCCTCTGTACGTAATAACCAAATTTAGTGTCCACTCCGGGACAACTCGTTAAGAAGATGTGAACGTGGGGGCCAGTGTGGGACAACCTGTTAGTTGTCAAAACAAGGAGTTCATCTGCTACTGTGAGTAGAAGGTGACTGCTGATGCTCTTAGCAAAGCGATAACTTCAGAGTAAATAGTGCATAAACCGTAGAAACATCCCAGCTCTATGACCCAGTGATTGGCATACCCACCAGGATGATCTATGGGTCAGTTTAAAAGCCACATGCAGAAACATCCCAGCAGTAAATAATCGAGCCTGGGTCAAACAATCCAGTGATTAGCACGCCATCAGGATACAGTGATCTGTACTAACAACCAGTCCATTTGGTCACCTCGTTACTGTTAGTTACTAGGACCTGCACTCTTAATCACAAAAGGTTTCTTGGTCCCTTTGATGGTGGAAAGACACGGTATTGAACCTACAGGCAATCAACAATTTTCAACACTGAATTATATCGAACTTATGTTATATTTGGAATTACACTTTCTTAGTAAATTACAGATTCTATTATATTTGTGGGCTGAGTCCCATCCTGAATTTGAACCAAAACACTCGGAGTGAGGCACCTAAATCGCCTGCTCAGAAAGTGAACGATCCCACCCACTCAGCCTCCAAAACATGGAAGTTCAGATCACGTACTTTATCTTACCTTCATGTAAAATACTTTAATTTCACTGGTCAATGACGCTTTAACAATTTTCCGTGTGGTGACAACTGTATAAAATATTACCCGCTGCCACGGTAACCGCCAAGCTCTTCGCCAAGAACCTGAAGTGCTAACAATCGTATGACGTATTAATATGACGCATGCCGTGCCCGGAGTTCGATAACCGTTCGATCAGCTGTTTTTGTGTTCACTTTGTACAGATGTATTTTACCGACTTTCACTGCTTTATTTAAACTATTTTATACATTGAGTCGTTTGCACACTCAGCTTAAACATAATCAACCATTTTTTATAGCAGTTTTAATCTTGTCAGAATATGTTTCACTGATTTTAAAAATCCAGTCGAGAGGCAGACGCCATTTTGTTTACTTGTCATATAGTCGGTCGCGATCTTTAACATAAAAATAAAATGATGCTTTGTACATTTAACATGGCGGTAAGATAAATACGTTGTATGCTTCTCCCTCGGGTAATACGGTCAGATGTACGCCTCTTTGTAGCAGTATCATCCCTCGTCTACCGGCTCGGGTGACACTGCTACAAACAGGCGTACATCAGACCGTATTACCCTCGAGAGAGGCATACAACTTATATTGTGATTACTGTGTTACTTGTTGTTACCTTGCCTGGCGCCCGGAAAAAAGGGACAAATTAAGGTGCTTTCTAATTTGGCTACACTACCAAACACACACAAGTCAGCACTAGCACAACGAGACACAACTATACATGGATGTATGTCCCTTTAAGTGAATCATGTTGAACACAACAAACACGTTCTTCATTTCATTCCTTTGTATTTGGGGCCGGTGGGTAGCCTAGTGGTTAAAGCGTCCTCTCGTCACGCCGACGACCCGGGTTCGATTCCCCACATGGGTACAAAGTGCGAAGATTTCTGGTGTCCCCCGCCATGATATTACTGGAATAATGCTGATGGAGGCGCCAAACTAAACTCACTCACTCACTCACTGCTTTGCTGTTCCTGATATTGTCAGGAAATGTGTTAGGATGTCGTTTAATACATTATAGCCTCTTTGTTTCTTTTCCAGAAATATATTGATGTTTTAAAGATGGACATCGAAAATTCAGAATGGCCCTCGCTACCCAACATGGTGTCATCCGGCGAACTGTCGAACGTCGGACAGTTTCTCGTGGAATATCACGGACCTTGTAGCAACTTGAATGACTGCGTCAGCAAACTGAAAATATTGAAAGACGTCCATGATGCAGGATTCAGGAAGTTTTATGTTCACAAAAATCATAACTGTGGACTTACTAATGCTTTATTTCCAGTCATAAGGACATTTTGCTATGAGATTCATTACGTTAATATCAAGCTTAAGTGAAGTCCATGTTTAGTGAGTGAGTGAGTTTAGTCTTACACCGCTTGTAACAATATTCCAGCAACATTGCGGCGACCATGTTCAGTGAGTGAGTGAGTTTAGTCTTACATCGCTGGTAACAATATTCAAGCAACATCGCGGCGGCCATGTTTAGTGAGTGAGTTTAGTCTTACACCGCTTGTAACAATATTCAAGCAACATCGCGGCGGCCATGTTTAGTAATTTTCCCACCACTTCAGTTTGCGTCAGGTCAAGAGCGTTAGTATCGTTGTCAGGTGATGGACAACGGACGGGAGACAGAAGTCGAGGAATTTATAACGACAGCAGTCATGTTTATTATAGTTGGGGGAATTAGGGTCCAAATGGTAGACGTTGATAGTTATCACGTGACAGATCTCACACCGGGACCGAGTGGCCAATGTTCCCAGGGAGATCCGCTCTGTCACGAACACACATGCAGAAGTCGGACGGCAATTCTTCATCGTCGACGTAATCGTTGGTGAGGCGACGGCCTTGGCTTCTGTCGTTGAACGCAAAATCATTACCCACCTTTTCCCTGATACCATAGCACGCTATGCATGGCGTTTAAGCGGAATACAAGCAGACGATACTATTATTGTTTTACAGATTAAGATGACAAATGCAGCAGAGAGGGTTTGGGTGATCCTGGCGCAGTCAGGCTGGTAAGATCATAATCAGCTCAGGGCCCTAGCCCCCTCTACACGCATCCCAAACAGCGAATGGAACTTCTCCCAGGAAACACTGTCGAACCCAACAAAAACTTTCCGGAGAATATGAAGGCATCCCAACACTGCAGTCTTCTGCATTACCTAGAGTGTCAGAAGGGTTGTCCTCCCGGTGGAGAACCCGGGTACTCTCCAGATCTACGCCAAGAGACCAGGAGGTACCAAACCAAGGGCACCGAGAAAAATCGGGAGCCTGACGACAGTGTACTTGGGATGCTTTTCCTGAATCTTGCCAATCACATTGCTGTCAAAAGGGACAGACAATTCAATGATATAAATACATTCATTGGCTTTATCAAAAAGGACAAGATCAGGTTTGTTGGCAGGAATTCTTCTGAGGCTGCATATGGGTCTATTCCACAGAAGTTTGAAAGCAGCATTTTCAATGATGCCCTGGACATGTTCAGGGTCGTACCATGGATGGACCTCGGAGTCAAAGCCACAGACATGGCAGAGACGGTAGTAGAAGCAACGAGCCATGCCATCATGTTGTTTAAGATATGCTAGTTTGTGCCAAGGAAGGGCATCCACTGACAAGGTGTAAGACAGTCTCTGTGAATTCATTGCAAAGTAGACATTTCATATTGATATTTTCTTTAAGAATCACATTTTGGCGATAACGAATGGGAAGTGACTGGCCCTGAGCCGCAAACAGAAAGCCCTCAGTTTCACATTTAAGACCAGGCGACTTCATCCCGGCGAAGGAGTCGGTGGGATTGCTATTCTGTTCCGCGTATTGCACGTACACACGATGCAATGGTTTCTCCACAAATGACCGAGTCTGGGCAGACTTGACGAAGGACTTCACCTGGTTTACTCCTATCGCTGGACCGTCCAGAATAATGTTTTGCAAAAATGGTTGCTCTTTACAGCATTTGCTGCTATATTTTCCTGAAAACATATTTCAAACTTTTCACAAAAATATATTTTCACAGGGAAATTACTGAAATTAATTGATTATATTTTAGTATTCAAACAAATATTTAATACCATATTTAAGCAATGACAAAATAGCTCTTTCAGCAAAAGTCATTATTCTATTGTGTTATAAAATATTATGTACCAGATGTAAAAAAACAACCTTCCATGCATTTTCTTGGGGGCGTTTATGGGGTTGACAGAAGTCAGTATACAATCTATATTCATATAAGATAAACATTATAGCCTATAGTGCTAGTTACATTGGCTGAAGCCAGTTGTTATATGTAGTGAGTGAGTGCGTGAGTTTAGTTTTACGCCGCACTCAGCAAAATTCCAGCTATATGGCGGCGGTCTGTAAAAAATCAAGTCTGGACCAGACAATCCAGTGATCAACAGCATGAACATCGATCTGTGCAATTGGGAACCGATGACATTTGTCAACCAAGTCAGCAAGCCTGACCACCCGATCCGATCTTACGACAAGCATAGTCGCCTTTTGTGGCAAGCATGGGTTGCTGAAGACATATTCTACCCCGGATCCTCACGGGTCTGTCATATGTAGTGTTGCATATAGTGAATGCATATTGAATACTTGCTCATGATAACCCAATAACATAATTTGAACAAATGACAATTTTGTGGATGAAATAGAAAGAAAAACTTTATTGCTGTCAGCGGGGCGGTGGGGTAGCCTAGTGGTTAAGGCGTTCGCTCGTCACGCCGAACACCCGGGTTCGATTCACCACATGGGCACAATGTGTGAAGCCCATTTCTGGTGTTCCCGCCGTCGTGTTGCTGGAACGTTGCTAAAAGCGGCGTAAAAGTAAACTCATTCATTATTGCTGTCAGCACGTTATGTACAGTCTTAAATGAAACCCATGCGCTTCGTCTTCCGAGAAGCAAATTGCTCAATGACAAGGTCTGTGTTTACTGTCTCTGTGGACATTGATAGTGCAAGTGATGACATACGGACATCCCCCATTGTACGTCTTGATTCTGCTCATTGCTTGATGCTGATGTCACGGGCATAGTGGTGAATTGCCGAAAACGTTAAGTGTAGGCACGTCCCTAAAGTGCCTGTTAAATGGTTTGCAATATGACAACGCCATTGCAGTTTTGAATTTAGTATTAGTATTGTTTCGTTGTTTATATTTGAGTGGATGTGAACGGTGGGTAGGACATTGTATTTTTGTAATAATCCGAACATCTTCAAGTTTAAGTTCCTCATGGTGACAGACAATGATACACTAATGCTCAAAGTATGTAAACATATGTCTCATAGCCTTAAAAGAAGGCAAACATTATTGAATGTGTAACTATTCTAAATATTATGTATGATATACCTATTGCAATGAACATGTATATTGGCCAACGGTCTAAAGACGTGAATAAACACACTTGGCTTGACTTGGCTTTACTTGGCTTGACTTGACTTGACACACTAGACGGGGGAGGAGTCTGACATCCTTAAACCATATTACTTCCCCCTCCACCCAGTTCTTTCTGTAATTATCCTTTATTTTACTCAGAGGAATCACCAAGTTACATGGTTTAGAAATTTGGGTAATGTTTTCAGAACATGTATCCAATTATTCCCAACACGATCTTGACGTTTCTTTGATGGGCATGTTAGAAGTTGAGTTGTTGAGTGAGTGTGAGTGAGTTTATTTTTACGCCGCACTATTCCATCTTTACGGCGGCGGTCTGTAAATAATCGAGCCTGGACCAGACAATCCAATGATTAACGGCATGAGCATCGAGCTGCGCAATTGGGAACCGATGACATGTGGCAACCAAGTCAGCGAGCCTGACCATTCGATCCCGTTAGTCGCCTTTTACGACAAGCATGGGTTACTGAAGAACAATTTTCTAACCCGGACCTTAACGGGTTTGAGTTGATGAAGAATGATGACTTTTTTTTATGGATATACAACTTCTTTTATTCAGTGGAGGCGACGTTTCGACATAGATTCTAATGTCGTTGCGTCGAAACATATTAAGTCATTTCACCTAATACTAAATTAATGAATAACGTTAACCCGTTCGTATTTTTCATCCTAATGAATGATGCAAGTTGTAGCCAACCTGTTACATAATGATTGTTGTTTTGTTTGTTTGAACTCCAGTATTCCAGCTATATTCCAGGGGTCTGTAAGTAATCGGGTCTGGACCAGACAATTCAGTGAACAACATGATGGGCATGTAATGTACATAATGTACAGAATCTCTGAGAAATGTTTTACAACTTTTCATCACTTCTCAGTTGGTTATTTGTGATTGTTTGTTCTGAAATAAAGTAAAGGTTTAAAAATGTTTTCTGTAAGTAATAAAACAAAATGGATCTTCAAAAAGGAGTAATATGAATTTTTAGAAGAATATTTAATTTGACTTCCCAATGACTCCAAAATCTGATCCATTACGATAAGAACCAATTTCGCGGTTTTCAATTCATTCGAGAAAAGATTTGGAAGTTCAGAAGCATAGGGACACCACAAGTTCTTAAATTGAATTCAATGTAATTTTAAAACAGGATATGAATACATGTGGACGTTTACAAATGATATAATCGAGTATAAATGCGGCAGTTGTATTGTTTGAGTGACCACATGCTGCTTTGTCCCAGTGTGCAATATAAAGTTTGTAAATTTTAAAGATAACTTTATAACTTTATAAGCCCTCCCCGAAGACCATTCAGATGTGTGTTGACTTTCCCTGACCTGCTTTAGAAATTGCAGATGTTTCAGATGCAAAAGTCTAAATGAAGCAAGTCTACAATTTCCTCGTTTCAATTTCTTTTTCACTAGATCTCCTTTTCGATGTAAATTCTCCTATACCCAACCGTTACGCAACATAACAAAAACACATGCAACAGTATGGACACGCTGTGCGTTGCATGACCGAGATTTATTGACAACTGCAACATACATTCATTACATACGTCTCATCACAATAGAAGAGCGGAAGGTCGCGGGTTCGATCCCCGACCGCGTCATACCAAAATACGTTAAAATATGGTACTTGTTGGTCCCTGCCTGGCGCTCGGCAATAATGGGTACAACAAGGACTGGTCGGCTCGGAGCCAGTATAATGTGTCTGAGTGGGGTATTCATGCTTCACTGCGGCATGGTATCTCAGTGGGCTAGCACTATAAAACCAGCTTCAGTCTGGGCTAGTACAAGCAGTACCTCACCTCACCTCACCTCACCTCACCTCACCTCACCTCACCTCACCTCACCTCACCTCACCTCACCTCACCTGACCTCACCTCACCTCACCTCACCGCACCTCACCTCACCTCACCTCACCTCACCACACCGCACCGCACCGCACCGCACCGCAATTTCCGCCTCACCTCACCTCACCTCACCTCACCTCACCTCACCTCACCTCACCTCACCTCACCTCACCTCACCTCACCTCACCTCACCTCACCTCACCTCACCTCCCTCACCTCACCTCACCTCACCTCACCTCACCTCACCTCCTCACCTCACCTCACCTCACCTCCTCACCTCACCTCCTCACCTCACCTCACCTCACCTCACCTCACCTCACCTCACCTCACCTCACCTCCACCTCACCTCACCTCACCTCACCTCACCTCACCTCACCTCACCTCCTCACCTCACCTCACCTCACCTCACCTCACCTCACCTCACCTCACCTCACCTCACCTCACCTCACCTCACCTCACCTCACCTCACCTCACCTCATTATCTGCCTGTTGCCCGCCACGTAAAACCAGAGAAAAACAACCCTCATGGAGAAAATACTCTGGAACCGTGTTCCCTCAACGAGTGAGTGAGTTAAAATTTAAAGTCACATCGGCAATATCTCAGCCATATCGTGACTAAAACTAGTTCTTAATTCATAATACATACATATACTATATAAAACCCTGTCAACGAAGCACAGCAAAATTACTAGATTATCACAAAATCAGTTTAAACTAGCTAGTATATATATTTAAAAGTAGAAAACTATTTTTGGACAATACAGTGTAAAAATGGGCTAGTAATCGCCAACCACTAAAGGTAGATCACCATACTAGGGACCATGGGGACTTACAGTGCCTTTGCTACCTGCATGGACCCTAGTTGGATTTACACCATCCCTTCAGCCATTGGCGTTTATGCTGAGATTTAGCCTTACATTAAAATGACAAAAATACTACGATTAAAAACCTGGTAGACTTAAATTTACTTGAAATGTTTTGGGACTTACGTACGATCTCAAGACGACAATATTCGAAGGTACAGCCACTCACAAATTCAGTTTCTCATTTAAATCACCAATACTCAAAATGCCTGTATGTACAAAACATATGAATCACAATTCATCTATCAGTTCTATTTCTTTAAAATGATAATTGACATTATTAAAAAAGATCCTTAACAGTTTTTACTTTGAAATATTTATCCCTTATGCTGGAAAAATTCAACACAGTGTTCCCTCAACGAATGCAGACAGCAACTACCTGAGGGTTTACAGTATACATGTGATCTAACTCATATATCCTGGGTACTTGGTACTCATATATCCTGGGTACTTGGTACTCATATAACCATGACATAGGTGACTGACACAATTAAACTAAACCAGTAGATTTCAGTTGCATCACTTAATCGAGTATCTGTATATCGCAACCTGGAAACCCACAATAAGTACATTTATACTGACACATGCGTTGACATATTCTACTAGGACACAAGCGCCTCATGTATCATGACAGCGTCCAGTCCACGCACTATGCTCTGACTGCACGTACAGCAGCTTAAAATAGTATCATAATGGCTCTTCAGCCCAGAGCAATATACATCGTCGTATGACTGCAAATATAGCAGCTTACAATATTATTATAATGGCTCTTCAACCCACAGCGATATACATCATCGTATGACTGCACGTACAGCAGCTTACAATAGTATTATAATGGCTCTTCAGCCCAGAGTAATATACATCGTCGTATGACTGCACGTACAGCAGCTTGCAATAGTATTATAATGGCTCTTCAGCCCAGAGAAATATACATCATCGTATGACTGCACGTACAGCAGCTTACAATAGTATTATAATGGCTCTTCAGCCCAGAGAAATATACATCATCGTATGACTGCACGTACAGCAGCTTACAATAGTATTATAATGGCTCTTCAGCCCAGAGTAATATACATCATCGTATGACCGCACGTACAGCAGCTTGCAATAGTATTATCATGGCTCTTCAGCCCAGAGAAATATACATCATCGTATGACTGCATATATAGCAGCTTCTAATTGTATTATAATGGCTCTTCAGCCCAGAGAAATATACAGCATATATAGTACAGCAGCATAAAATAGTATGATAATGGCTCTTCAGCCCAGAGAAACATACATCATCGTATGACTGCACATATAGCAGCTTACAATTGTATTATAATGGCTCTTCAGCCCAGAGAAATATACAGCAAAATACAGTACAGCAGTTTACAATAGTATTATAACGACTCTTCAGCCCAGAGAAATATACATCATCGTATGACTGCACATATAGCAGCTTACAATTGTATTATTTAAGGCTCTTCAGCCCAGAGAAATATACAGCAATATACAGTACAGCAGCTTACAATAGTATTATAATGGCTCTTCAGCCCAGAGAAATATACATCATCGTATGACTGCACATATAGCAGCTTACAATTGTATTATAAAGGCTCTTCAGCCCAGAGAAATATACGGCAATATACAGTACAGCAGCTTACAATAGTATTATAACGACTCTTCAGCCCAGAGAAATATACATCATCGTATGACTGCACATATAGCAGCTTACAATTATATTATAAAGGCTCTTCAGCCCAGAGAAATATACAGCAATATACAGTACAGCAGTTTACAAAAGTATTATAAAGACTCTTCAGCCCAGAGAAATATACATCATCGTATGACTGCACATATAGCAGCTTACAATTGTATTATAATGGCTCTTCAGCCCAGAGAAATATACAGCAATATACAATACAGCAGCTTACAATAGTATTATAATGGCTCTTCAGCCCAGACAAAATATACAGCAATATACAGTACAGCAGCTTACAATAGTATTATAACGACTCTTCAGCCCAGAGAAATATACATCATCGTATGACTGCACATATAGCAGCTTACAATTGTATTATAAAGGCTCTTCAGCCCAGAGAAATATACAGCAATATACAGTACAGCAGCTTACAATAGTATTATAACGACTCTTCAGCCCAGAGAAATATACATCATCGTATGACTGCACATATAGCAGCTTACAATTGTATTATAAAGGCTCTTCAGTCCAGAGCAATATACATCATCGTATGACTGCAGGTACAGCAGCTTACAATAGTATGATCATGGCCTAACCTCATCTTTGTATGATTGTAAACAGCTTC